ATTTTAGTTAATATTTAATGAAAATTAAAACATATTATTGTAAGATTTTTAGATAATACTTGCTTTGTTGAATTATCACCGCCGACAATCGCTCTTTTGGATTCAACGCTCCACTGGACAATGCAGAAAATATTTAAATGTGTATCACCTACAACCAATTCCATATAAGAGTAATTCTATTCCGAATTGAGGTATCTTAATGAATACATAACACATGGCCATTTGATTATTCCGAGGCGTATTAAGAGCGACATTACTTAAGAACATCGCCGTTATGCATAGTTGCTACCTGTTCTCGTGCGAGTGCTTTCATAAGACATTATGTTTGCATTACATCAGCGTTGACCCAAATTATATACACAGCCCATGAATATGTTCTACTGTTTCAGTTGTAGTACCTAGTCTCTTGAATTATATAACGATATTCGTAAATGTACCCGTAATCGCCGAAAATTCACCGAGGCGACACAAAATATGCTTCTGGGTGAGGATCTAGCCAACGTACATTGCAGTGATGCTGTCTATATTTTAGATAAAAGTATAAGTTGTAGTTATAATATTCCGAAAGGATGATCAAATATTTCATGCACTAGAATATAACTTAATTCTTTTCATGACTACACCAGCATACACAGCACGTCATGCGGATCTCGACCATGGACGACCATGGATATTCATTTTTATAAGCGATTTAATTCAAGTTCAAATATGTTTTATTCCACTAATTGTTATTAAATTATATCAGTGATTACTACGTAACGTACTTTAACACAAAATAAAGCAAATGTACGTGCTTCATTTTATATTCACTTTCAAATATTAATCTTCATCAATATTATTTATATAGTGTTACTCATTTTTATATCGATAAATATTTGGTATTTGGACTCAGACAAAAAATTATGGTTTTAAATATTTATACAATGCCATATGGAATTTTTTTGCATATTATAAAATGTAAATTTGCACCTATGTTATAAATTATAAAACTCATGTTGATGTTGTTTTTTACCAAAGATGTGCGTAGATAATAAATTATTTTCAATATCAATAAGTTTGGTATCTGGATGTCTAACAAGGCATATTTTCAACGGTTTGTTAGAAAAAATCTTCACGTATATGCTTGATATTTGATGACATTTTTGAATATTATTTAAGCCATAATATTGTTTTTTCGAAAAACAAATTTGATTTGATATTGGGTTAGTATTGAAAAAAATTGGTGAAATATTTTTCAAGAAACTTTTAGTTTAAAAATTTTAGATCATATTTTCCGAAAATTGAGTGACTTATGTATGACATTATAAGCAATCGAGTAACTTTATAAATGATACAATTTTTTTTATAAAATTTTGTTTAGTATATTTTTATATTCTATTAGATAATCATCAATGTCATAATATAATTAGTTTAATGTTTTTCAATAATGTGAAATTGCATCAATGGCATTTCAAAAACATAAAATTCAATTCCACTACGAATTAAATCGTACAAGTACGCCATCAAATTAAGTATTCCGATCGTCCCTTATCAAATTGCTTTTGTCAATAGCAGAATTCCTCCCAAACAATTTAAAAAAATCAAATAACCATTAAAATAGTTGTAATCGAGCTACGACTTCACAAAATCTAAAATGTTTGATCAGTACAAACGTGCAATGCATTTCGATCCGCATTTGACTCGGCTTGTAGTTTTATTATCTTTTGTTGCGCTACAACAAGATTCTACATGTAATGTTGAGTATAAAGCTCGCATACATGCCAATGGAAAAAGCACGTCGCAAGCTGGCTTGTAAAAGCTCGTGTTATTGTCATTTCGCAGCCACTCGCCGATATGACATGGAAACGGATTGAAAAATGCTTCACTGGACAAGGAATTATCTGTGGTGGATATTGAAATTGTTATAACTAACGGACAGAATTCTTGTGAAATAAAAAAATATTTTGGTTTTAATTTTTTTTTCGGATAAAAGATGGTGTACAAAAACTGTCGAAATGATTGTACAAGAACCATAATCGACCATTTTGCAGACTAATTTTTGTTCGCACAAATTTCGACCAATGCGATGGAAATAAATACTAAAAAAAATCTTTTGCTGTTTCTGACAATAAGAAAGTTACCTGTGCCAGAACAAAATTATTGCAATATATAAATAACAAATCTGGTTTTAAAAAAGTATTTGTTAAAGGTCCTTATTTTTCTGGACGAACGCTTCCAAAGACTCTGAAAAGTGCCAGTAGAAAGCAACATTGACACCTTATGAACCTACAATAAACCAAGACCAAGATATACGATTTCATTAGAACAGAAATTCTTTTGTTTTTTAACGATGCAAACAAAACAAATTAAGTGATTTAGTTTTTTTTTAATTAAGTGATAAATAGTTTGATCAAATATAACATCCAGTTGTGTTCTCGAAAATGCTATCAGTAACCAAAAATATTCTACAAAGATACTAATAAATATTTATTTTTTTGCGCCAAAGTTTGACAAAAATGCTGAGTTTACCAAGATGCTAAACGAATAGAATATAGCAGAACAATACCGAGGTTCATTCCAAATGCAGATTATGTGGCAATACTTTCAAACAACCTGCTGATTCTCTTGAAATTTTCCGTTCGACTGTCTTTGCAAATTATATCTTTGATTATCTTTTGTAATTTTCATATTATTAATTCTATAGTTACTGCAATAAGCAATATGATATTTGTTAATAAACGTAAATATTATTATTGTCTTTTAATGAAATAAAAACATTTATTGTCGACTATTAATAACACATTATAATAGTACTTGACTAGCAGCTATATCAATTATTAATGCTTTAACGATGTCGATTCTAGATATTGATCAAGTATGTGATATTTTTCGGTAAAAAACCACTACGTTTCGCTGGTTGATCGCCTCATGCATTACTGGCAATCGATTTGGCTCGGAGACACAGACTTCGACATAGACATCGAAAACATCTAAAATCATATTGGAATATATAAAGATTCGTGTCGTACTCTGTATTCGATGTGATAGGGTAATGACGTAGCATGTAGACAGACATACAAAATAGAATTGATATGAAACTGATATTTATATTATGAAATGAAAAATAGATGCAAAGAGCAGTATACTATGGATTAAATTATGAATTTCTTTAAATTTTATAATTTGTGATAAATAAATCAATATTTTTTAAATATTGCTATGCAAAGTTCATATTTTATGAATTTTTCAAAACTATTATCAAATTCGATTAGACTTTATAGTTTATAAAACTAGCAATATGAGCGTTTCTGTAGAAGTATCATAATACGGTGGAGAGCCACATACGACGATCAGATGAGAATCTTGTGGTGGCATTATACTTAAAGCTTCACTTAGAAAAATGTCAACAAATTTATATTTTTTTTTAGAATATGATATCCATGTACCTGTGTCGACTTCAGTTTATATCTGAAAAAAATGTTTAGTTCTAATTGATAAATTGTTTAATACCACAAATAAATTGAAATCAGAATTACAATTTTCATTATTTGCAATTCATTTAAAATTATTGTAGGAACTCCATAACACTGCAAAATTACTCATTAACCAAATGATAATGTTATTGCGGAATTATATTACATGCCTCGCATTTGAAATTGTGTTTTGACCAGATTACAAATTGTCTATTTACCACATTATGATACGTCTATTTACCACATTACAATATGTTTATTTACTAGTGTAGAATTTGAACAAATTATTTCTTAAAACTTTAAAATTCACTTTCCTATCATGTGATCTAGGTATACATATATATACCTAGTGGTATATGGTGCCTTAAGACAACTCTCATTATTCATATTGTATAGACAAAATATAAGATCTTATAAATTGGACAACGACATTTGTATATGATTACAGAAAAGTAAATAAATAAAACTTAATCAATTCGGTTTAAAATAAAGGACGTTGTTTAATATTTATAAACATTATATAAACTGAATTGCAAAGTTAAATTTATATTCGAAGCATATATGTGAGCTTTAGAACTTTAGCTAAAGTTAAAATTCAAATGTCAATACAAAATGTCTATTTACCACATTACAATATGTCTATTTACTAGTGAAGAATTTGAACAAGTAATAACTTAAAATTTAAAAATTTACCTTCCTGAAATGTGATATCTTAATATGTAAGTCTTGATATCTTCAATGTGAAAATCTCGTATATAGTTCAGATAGAATCAAAATATTCTAGCAGTTTGTATATTAACAAATATATTTGAATAATGTCGTGTTCTATTAAATGTAAATTTTTTGTGCTTTGATAAGTTACAAGTTTGTTTGAATTTTCAACACATGTCTACAATAAACATATTTAATAACACAGACACACGTTCCATGTTAATGTCTATTATAACTGGTTCATATACTAAACTTCTTCCAATAATTTATTAATTATGAAGGAAGAAATTTATGTTTCTTCATATATTTTGTTATAATATAGTATATTGTCAAAACTGTAACAATTGTATTATCGTACAGAATATTTCAAGAAAATTCTATGCCAAATACGGATTTTCTACATTTTTGCTTTGAGATATTTGTTCTGTAAATGCAAGTGCTGATAGTGAATTGTTGCATTTGGAATTCCACAAAATGCATCCAGTCTTTCGCACGTCATTGGCACGCGCTGCCGTTATTTGTCACGCTGTCTTTACCCAAAGTGCAAAATCTTGATAGAATCTTAAAGCCGGCGATATTTCACGGCTGCTTCAATTTTTTAATAAAAAATCACAGGAAATTTTTGTTTACGGATTTCGCAAAGATAATATGATGAAACATGGGCAATTATTTGTTGTTTACTTATGGATATGTTCATAATCTCTTCGATGTTTTGATGGATTGTAAACTTTTTAAGGGAATCATGAAATATGTTATGTAATTAACCAAATTAAAGTAGAATATTTTATGTATATGATTCCCGTCATGGATTTATTTTCACCGATTTTTTTTTTGCAGGTCTGGCGCATTATGATGACATCAATTCAAACATTAGTGCTTTACCATATTTTGAATTCAACGTCCCACGAAACGTGACCACTGCAGTTGGCCAAACGGCATTTCTTCATTGCAGAGTCGAGCAGCTGGGCGACAAAGACGTGAGTTTTAAATTAAAATTCTATTCGAAATCTTTTTATTCTTATATGTTTATGAATTATGATAAAATGTTTTAATTTGAAGTTGAGGCATATGCAAGTTGTGTACATGGGTTGTACAGACTAACGCTTAAAGTGGTGAACGATTATGAAGGCCACTTACTTGTGCTTTAATAATTGCAATATCGCAGGACTATATCGTAATAAATTTATTCAATGCTTAATATTTATGCTGTTGCATATCTTAAATTTCTGCAACGCATCTACATACATTGTCGTAATTTTTGTGAAAGTAATAACTTGGCCTTGGCATATTATTTGTATTTTTATGACAGTTTGACATAACATATATTATATATATGAATATAAATATTAGTTTATTCTCAAATGTTGGAAGTATCAACGTATTCTGATTAATATAATCACGAACACTAATACAAAATTCTGAATTATATAATTTCAATATGATACATATATTTGATCTTTAATTAAATATTTTGAAAACATCAGTACTTTATAAATTTATATTAAATTAAGACCTTTTTAGTGGCATATAGACTACCTATTATGTATGTACAATTTTATTATAATAAAAAATACACCTTCGATTTTTTAAACCGATACGAAAGATTTTACGTGAAGCTACTGGCTGTAATGTCAATATCAGTGATTCCCAACCTTTCATTGGCCACTCCCTGCTTAAGATTTCTGAAATTGTCATGCCCCCCATACAATTTTTTTCACTTCTAAATATTGTTTTGTTCCTGAAAAAATGTCAATGATAAGTTTTAAGAAGAAATCGCCATTAGTTTGTTATGAAACCATCATAAGCAAAATTTTCTAAGTTAGTAATAAAAACAGAAATTTTAAATTAATTTTAATACAGATTTTTGTATATTTATTGAATGCGATGCTGAGTGAGAATGATGAATTACTGAGCTTCTAATTCAAGTCTTTGCGTTGTGCTATTTCAAGTCCATTTCCTTTCTTTTTATTAGTAAAATATAGAAATCTCATGTACATTTGGCTACATTCGGACATTTGGTTTCAGTTTCTTTATAAATCTACTCTTGACTCTACGTAGCCAGAATAAAATGCCAATTGCGGTTACGAGGAATGAAATAATATTTAATTTTTTTTTGTTAAATCAAACTTACCATTTATTTATTTCAAAACCGAAATGAAAACTTGAAGTTATAAGGTTGACATTTAAGTAAGTAATCAATTGAATTCATTATATTAGGCACATAGTGCATATATCACTAGTATTATAAAATATACATAAATTAGTGTTTATTATTTTTCATAAATGCACAATCTTTTGTTATTCTCTCACATATGACTGAAATTCCACAAAAATCCATTCCGCCTTATGAGCCTCAATATATTTTCACAAAAAAAGTATTCTTTCTCCTTTGGAATGCGCGTGCCTTAAATTTTCGAGAAAAGATTTGTTGAAAAAACAACGAATTAGCCTCTCTGAGATTTATGCGTATAGATTCCATGAATTCATTCCCTTAAGTATTAATAGCTTAACCAACAACGCGCGCGTGAAGTAAGAATAAATCAGTCTAATTAAAACCGAGGAAATCTGCGGAAAAAGAGCGCGAACACTTAGCTATACCGTTTTTAATTCTCAGAAAGACTGGCCAGTTTTTCTTTACTGGAGCGCGTTTTAAAATTAATTGTTTTTGTTTTTATTGTTGCCGCCAGTAGTGCGGCCGTTGAAGGTGAAATATGACCAGAGGTTGTCCGAATGCGGAAAGAAACGAATGAAAAAAAAAAAACAATATCAGAAGCTCTTAAGAATGCGAAACATTAGAATAGGAAATGGCTAACCATAAATTTCTGGGTTTGGACATATGGAAGGACTTTTTAGTAATTGTGTATCTCTGGGGAGTCGATATTTCTAACTTTCTTGTTAGCAAAACTTGGAGTTAGAGATAAGATATAAAAGGATGTTACTATCATTAATGTCAATTAGTTGAGCACTTAGATTTGTCGTTTGAAATTGTGAGCTAAAAATAGAACGGTTCGGACACCAATCGATTTTGTTCGGAGAATTGAAAACTTGATAGCCAGTTAAGATCTCCGAAGGTTGATATATTATTACATGTGTGTTACAAAAATTGATCCTACAAAATAATCAAATATTTCTAGATTTTATTTTTAGCTATTATTTTTTAATTAATTTATAAGTAATTATAAATAATAAATTATCGTAGGATCGTTAATCGCGAAAAAATCGAAATTCAAAATTTTTTGTATCTGTACGCTTTAAAGCTCTCATTTAAAAGCAGAGCCAAACATTTTCGAGCATCTTAAAAAAATGGTTGTATGTGTTTGTGTGTGTGAGAGAGAGAGAGAGAGTAAGTACAATTTGATTAATTTGCAATTAAATCTTGTTCGAAGGCGCAAACTATTTTAAGTTTTTATACAAATATAGATATAATTGTTTTCACGTTTTTATTAATTGAATTGTAGTGTATTTAATTGTTACGTATTTGCTATTATAAACCTTTCTATAAATATCCCATTGAACTGTTTGGAGATAAATTTCGTGTGAATGTCAACTTTGGATTTGTGAGCTTATGATGAAACACAAGCGAAGCTTTAAGTTTGAGTCACAAACTTTACGTATCTTTCATAACTTTGCACGAATCCATCGGCTATAAACTTTATACATCCAATCTGATATCAAGTGATGTTTGAACTGATTTGATTGAATTTCGCTCTCCGAATATTAATACTTTGACAAAACTATATATATGTATATATATATATATATATATATATATATTTCAATTTATTTCATGAAAACCAATTATCATTTTTACAGTAAAAATATCAAAAACGCACTAAAACGCTGTTAAAAAAACTAGTTTAATCTATCAAATTTCATGCTCGTACAATCTTTTCTAACGCAATCCAAAAATATGAAATCAATATTCATTTTTTTAGTTATTTTATTTAAAATCAGATTATATTGTATGATATATAATTGCTCTATACAATCATACTATTTTGTTCACTTAATTTTTCAAATCATTATATTTTACTTTTTACCTATATGTTGTAATATAGACATCAAGTTCTAAACTGTATTCAAAAAGTTAGGAATTTGTGATACAAATGATTAAATTTAATTTTTTGTTCTGTCGAAATCGTGCTTCGATATAAAACACAGATATGTACGGAAATGTTTGTATAGTTATATCGATTTCTTTGTGAATCTGTATTAATTTCCATATATTGTTTTAAAGTAAATACAAGAGAGAGTTTATTGAAACATTTTTTCTCTAACCCGCAGTATGTATTTGCAAAAGAATACGTACGGGTTTCCCATCATGAAAACAAATATGAATACAACTTATAAAGTACAGCTTTTATTGAAGCTTACCATTAATATTATATGCGATATTTTCATTTTCGTGGTTTTTCAATTATTATTTATAACACATGTGCTAATAAACAAATCACTATTGAAATAATATAATAATTATTATTTTTGATATTTTATTCCTACAAACCAAATCGTAAAACTATAGATCTAGAGATATTATTTTGCAATTTTATTAAAATATTGCAATATAGTTCAACATTGTCACACTCTTCTTAAGACATCTGGTACTTACCATTGTAAACTTTCAAAAAATTCTTACAGTTACATTTTAATTTTTAATATTCACTTTATCTAATGCAAAATGTGTATTAATATACGGGTTCATTTTAGTTATAAATTTGTATGTTAACCCTCTAAATTTTTTTTTGATTTATTTTTTATAGCAAGCTATACAAAGTACATTCAGCTACATTTGTATCAGTTATATATTAACCCTCTCGATGTCTGGCAATCTTAAAATATTTGGAACTTTTTTTCGTCATTTTTAACTTTAAATTCGAGTAGATCGTACGCTTATAGATATAGATTGATATTTTTTATAACAGATTTCTTACTTCATAATGAATAAGTTCATGAGTTACTGCGAAATCTAAGCAAAAAAATATTTTTACTCAAAAATACCCCAAGTTAGTGGGGCGCATGGCATCGTGCCTTAAGCCAAATTGCTGGAACTTCCCGTACCAAAAATTATTTTTTTTTTAAAAAAATTAACATTGTTGAAAAAAATTTACTTTGAACAAATTAGATTTCTGAGAAACTGTAAATTAGTCAAAAAATTACATTTTTTGAAAAAAAAATTTTTAAATGTTTTCTTTATTTTGAAATATTTTCATTCCACTTTTTGTGGAAGTGGAAGGTATGCCAAAATGTTCGATGGTTTTGAAACGTAAAGATATATAAAAATTTTCATTTTTGATTTTTTTGCAATTACTATAACTTGCTCCACGGGAAGTTAAAAATGGTACTTTTGATCAGGCTTATTTTCGGGTTTCGGTGATTTTCACTATAAAACGTAGGAGCATTAAAATTAGTTGTAAATATCGTATGTAAAACAGAGAACTGAGTTAGCTTTAGGAACCATATCTTAAAATTACATTTTCATAATTTGACAACCACTTGAACTAGAATCCTTTTACAATATGAAACAATAATAACACGTGTAAATCACGTCCTTAGTATCAAGGCATTTTCCTCTGGGAACCATCAAAATATTACAGACTTTCCTCATATATAGAGCTCGGAATCAAACATTTCCGTGGCGTCTTATTACGTCGAACGCTTTCGGGAACGGCCTATTTCTATTAATCTTCACTTGCACGCGCAAATGGAAGATTAGTTATCTCGCTTTCCCGCCCAAGCCACGCGTCTTTGCGACACCTTTCGCCTTGAGTGGATTCACCGTGCCGCTTCTTCCGGTGGTTTTCTATCCCGGAAATGTCGAGAGGTTCTGGAATCCATTGCCCCTTCACGCTTTGAGTAAGTACTCTGACTCGGATTCATTTACGCACGGAGATTATACGTAATTACATTTATGAGCAATCCATTATCGGTTTTTGTGAAATTATTATAAAATATTAAAATGAACGTCGTTTATATTGAG